GGCAGAGGCAGGCGGATCTCTGTGAGTTCGAGGCCAGCCTGGTCTACAAGAGCTAGTTCCAGGACAGGAACCAAAAGCTACAGAGAAACCCTGTCTCGAAAAATCCAAAAAAAAAACAACAACAACAAAAACAAAAAAAAGAAAAATAAGTAAAATAACATTATTGAGGGGAAAAATCCTCCCCCAAATTAAAATAATAAAACTGAAACACAATTTTAAAAATAAGGAATAGGTTTAACTTAAAGGTCAAACAGCATTTTCACACTGATGTAGTTAGAACCACAAAGTAAAATGTTATTTAAAAATGTAAGGATGAAACTAAGTCCTTAGAATGTTCCTCTAAATGAAGACTATCTGGAAAACTGCAACAGCACTCTAACTTCTGCCCTCCATTAGAAAGACAGTTACTGTTGTCATGAACAGGACTGGGAAGAAGGCAGTTACTTCCTGAAGAAGTTACAGTAACCCCCAAATAATTTGCAATTGAATTAGACAATGAACTCACAGTGGTGATTTTGCCCTTTCTCTTGGCTGGAAGAAAGGGGCATGCTCTGACTTGGAGATCTTTAATGGCAGCGGTTACTGTATTGCTTTCAGGGTCACCTTTACAGCAAATTTCACACTGTGTTGTAATGACTAACGCAGGAGCATCATTCCTTGTCATGTCAGCCACAAAGACAATCTCAGGGTTTTTTATTAGAATATTTATTTCCCACTTCCCTAAATCCTGTGCAGGTTCTAAAATAGAAACAAACATATACATATTAATTATACATATTACTTATGAAGAGTTAAGAGGAACAGCTAGTTACGTCACTCAAAGTGAAATATTAAAAAACATTTATGTATTTCTTTTGAGATAGGCAATACCCCCCCCCCCACACACACACACCGCAGGGACGGAACTAGAACCAGCTTTGTATATGCTATGCACATGCTCTGCCATCAAACCTCCAGTTACTTACAGAAATATTAATCAAACTATGGGCAAAGTCTCTACTGTTTAATGGTAGAACTGGATCTAAATCGATTTTGATTTCTCAACATTCTTTCAACTATATCATATTGAATATGTAAAAGAAAACAGAAAAATTTTATGCTAAAACCTAGAAGGGAATATAAAAGTTAATGAGTACTTTAAATTCAAACACCATATTTAACTTAAAGAACAACACTTGATTCATTACTTCTCCTGCTTGTTACTGACTGCAGAGAACAACTACTTGCAAATCTCATACTCAGACCTTCAAACACCGAAGGCAGGCAGAGTGGCACAGACTGCTCATCCCAGCAGTGAGAAGAGAGGCAGGAGGATTAGTAGTTCCTTAGCTTCAGAAGTAAGTTTGTGTTGAACAGTAAAGTTTGCTTCAGAACTAAGTTTAAGGACAGCAAAAACCACATAAGACCCTTTAACAAAAATACAAATTCAAAACACTACAAACTGCAGCCAGGCGGTGGTGGTACAATCCTTTAATCCTAGCACTCTAGTAGCAGAGCCACCTGAATCTCTGAGTTTGAGGCCAGCCTGGTCTCTAGAGAGAGAGAGAGTTCCAGGACAGCCAAGGCCACACAGAGAAATCCTGTCTCGGAAAACAAAACAAAACAAACAAAAAACCAAAAAGTTATAATTCACTTATTTTATTCTTAAAATTTATTTATTATTTACATACATATAGAATTTTAATTTATTAATGTGTTTACTCTAAACATTGAGAAGACCAATTGAGGTAACTATAGCTGCAGTAATAAGACATTAATATTTTTGTGTGGTAACTAACCTTCTTTGGTAGTCCATGCTTGGACACTGGTTTCTAAAGCCGTACTAGTCATGTAGGCATCAAAAAAGACATGTGCAACAGTCATCAGAAACTCCACACTTGCACAAACATACATCTCTTGCACAACTGCGTCAGTCACAAAAGCATCTCTGATTCTTCTATACTTTACATCCACCATGTCCTTTTTGTCAAACCCAAGTGTCAGCCCTATCATTCTGAAAATCAAAGACAATTTCGCATGTGTGGGTAATTTAAAATAACCAAACATACCAATAAAACTTAAAGACCTGTCTATCCTTTTACTGACAGCAAACAAATATTCTGTGAGCATGTCTTTTGAAGAATAATGAACTTATAAAACTTCAGGTATATAACTTTTCACAATGGGCGAAAATCTATTTGAGAAATTATAAGAGTTCTGTATATCGGTTTATATTTTCTTCTTGATTTCATACATTTCCCATCTAACTACACTAGTTAGTTCTATGTATTCAATAAACTCACCAACATTTCAAACATGAACAAATACCATGATGTACTGAAGTTCTCTAGACCACTTATGAATACACATAAAGGTAATTTTGAGTGTAAGTTCTATAAAAACGAAGAATCTTTCATCAATAGCTCAAAATTATGATAATACATACCTAGG